AGGGGGAGATAGATGTACTTTATCTTGTTTCTTTAGACAATAATGCACTCTATTGAAGAATGTTTTTTGGTTATTTTTCCAATCTGCTATGTGCGGCCCTATTCGATACCGTGGTTAATGAATCGGCTGCCATATTATTGCGCACGGGTTTGAATTCCGAGGAAGGCATGGATGTTTTTACGTATAAAGTGTCTTTACGGCTCCTGGGTATATAAAATCACTCAGCGAGATAATGGGCTTACCCCTGCTCCCTTATTTATGATTCCTCTTTTGAGAGAAACACCCAGAAAACTAATTCACCAAACCAAATACGACGCACCAGGGGTGGGATATTCGCAGAGAAAATTTTCAGGTTCTGCATTCTGGAGCTCTTAAAGAGCCCACCAGAGGCCGAATGGTAAAATCGCTGAATACTGGTAATTCGACCTGGGTTAAGATTTCAGGCGAACGGGCTGGCTTGCATGGGCGTTTTCGTGGATTTTCCCATATGTAACGAGTATTCGAGTCAGTTTCCCTTAGAAAGTCCTCCACGAAGGTATCTCTCCTCTTAGGCAGATAGCCCTCGAGTGCTTTGCCCTAATCAAACAATTCAAACCTAACGAAGTCTTTATTAGCTCGTTTGCCAGGCTAATTCATTGTTTAAATCTGACTACGTTCGGCCGGACTGTACGTGTCTGCTGATATTCGCCGTTTAATTTAATTAAGGGCCAACTACGTTACATAATTTTGTACAGCTTCGGCTAAGTTCAGTTTAATTTAGCTTTATAATAGTTTCTTATCTTCTTATCTTGAGGCTTTTCTGTAAACCTGAGAAAGGGGCCATATGTTTTCTTAGTTTGAGATAATAAAGGGTGAGTTAACCTTCTCTGCACCTTTTATTTACAGACTTGGACTCAGCGATAAGTCGCTACATAGTTCAACAGGGTTTCTACGAAGTTAAGCATAAACGAAGTAGTTAAAAAAATTACAGTGTCGCCCAAAATAAAAGATGGTAGATGATGATTCTTCACCACCACGATTTGGACATGCCTTCGTGGTGTAACGGTAGCACACTTGGCGCGCATTCGAAAGGTCCAGGTTCGAGTCTCGGCGAGGGCATTTCTCATTTTTCGTGTTTCCTTTTCAAATATCCTATTGACTCTGCTCATGTAGAGGTCCTTAGCGTAAGTCCTCAGGGTACTCTCGACCAAAACTGGAATGGAATGAGCGAAGTAACATAAAATGCCCAAGATCTTGGACAGTGACAGGCGCTCTCCTCTTTTTGGCCACGATGAACTGTGGACTTGATTAAGATTAAAATCAGGAGGATAAACTATAGCAATAAAACAACAATTTACTATTTTCTAAACTAATAATATCTGCTTAATACTTTCACAAAATTCGCTATTTTAGAGTAACTTCAGAATCTGTAAAAAAGGTTTGGTATCTATTCATTTTAGAGCAATTTCAGACAAGTTTCAGTAATCTACTGGCTATTTTCAGGTAATTTGTCATTTCTAGGACGTTAGCATACAATATTTTCAGGGAACCTGACAAATTATTTTTAGGTAGTTTGGTAAATAATTGTCAAGTAATCTGTTATTTTTAGGATATTTCTATACAGATCTAGTATGCTAAATTGATCTGGTTAGCTATTAATTCCGTGACTGGTAGCAATTTTCAGGTAATTTCAGATAATCAGAATGTTAGTATACAGATTCAAAGTTAATTTCAAGTAATTCCTGTATGCATTTCTAATAATAAATATCAATATTAACAGCAGCTTGATGGATCGGGTCAGACCCTCGAATCGCAACTCCAGTTATAACCATTAGCGTTCATGCAGATGAACGATCCAACGAGTATTTGTATATTTTTTAGACAATGAGTTATTATCTCTATACCTATGCTTGACAGCATTTCCACTTTTTATTTTTATTATTAGCATTTTATATCACAAACATTATACCACCCGCTGCGTGTTGACATCCTTCACATCATTGTTTCTAATATTTTATTTTGCTCTAAACCTCATATATCCTGAACAGAAAACTTAAATCGCTGCGTCGGCTTGAAATTTGGAGAGAGATTATTTTTTACTCCTACGCAAACACTATGAACTGTTCATGCTTGATGGATCGGATACGACAAGCAGGGATTATTAAGTCTGAGTGAATAACGGACAGTCACGACCGAACTTTCCAGTTGAAGTTAACTGACAGAATATTTTATTTCTTTGACCTTCAGAAGGAAAAAAAAAGAGAGAAGTGGACACGAAGCATTTTAAATTCGTGGAAACGCGTACTTTGACACATCTTAAATTTGGTTTAACTATTTCATTATGACGTCTGAGTGTATGTCTATCTATCTGGATCTATGTTTAAAATCACAAAAATCAACATTGTAGGAAAAAGACAAACCATGCAAAAGCAATCAGTTATCCAGACATCAGATATATTTTCAACTATCAGAATAGCTTATTATTCTTTCAAGTTAAAGTAGTATTTTTCTTTTATATGTTTTTAATTTCTTTGCTATTTAAGTGGTATAAACAGACAATACAGCATAATTAGTTTATAGATTCATCTAAATGAATATACACGACAGCTAGATTGGCTTAGTTATAGTCTAGAATTCGGTAAATTTTAGCCTATAAACATTAAAAAATAATGCCGATGGTGAAAGCAGGGATACTAAGAAAATTAACAGCCTTTACGTTACATGAATGTAAACGTGTGTGTGTGTGAAATTATGGCAAAGCCTCGAGGGCCAAGATGAGTGGTATTATTTCTCTTATAAGAGGTTTTCAATGGACAACATGCGGCCCTCCCGTCTAATAATGAGGATCCCGTCTAATCACGGGTTGTCACCTTAGTTGCATTTCAGTTGCAGGAGAGGTTAAACAAATACTGATTGAGTACCTACTTATTTAGCAGTAATAGTAATCCCTTCAATTAAAATCTGTTTCCTTTTCCCCTTTTAATTACAATAGTACTTAGGTTTGTATAAATTTTAAAAATATGAACTATACCAAACTCATGTTTTCCATAGAAAATTAACTTTGCGGGATGCAGTTTTGCCATATGTGCAATGTGTCAATGACGTACCTCCTGTGTTCGGCAACGGTTTACTCTATTCTTGATGAAACGACTTTTCGTTCGCCATGTTCTTCGTATTTACCGTGTTTCCATGCTCACATTTCTCATTTTACCACACACAGCATTATGAAAATTTTGCCTTCGCGAAGTTTTATCGCCTTTTAAACATTTTTAACATCAGTTCTCTGTATACTATGCAATGTTTCTATAGTCTTGAAATGCTTTGCTAGATTTGATATTAGCTTTCAAAGATACATAAAATTTCAAAAATAAGGTAACTCGCAAAATACTGCATGTTTGTTTCCTGTCTACGAATTGAGATAAACGCGATGGATTGAAATAACTTTACAAATTAATAAATATTGTTGCTGAAGCAAATGTAACTGAAAAATTACGATTTAACTGAAAAATCTCGATTCTCAGAAGATACTGTAATGCGGATTAATGCCTTCTTGCCAAAGACTAAGTTGAAATTCAGCAGTGGCTACTTATGACACAATAAACCAATTCTCCTCCGTGTTTTCAATTTCGACAAGCGAAGAGGTCAAACGGTTCAAAAAAATGAACTAGAAATCTAATTTAATGCAGCTGCTTCGATTTCGCGGTATTTCTCAGATTCTAAGAACAGTAACCCCTTTTCGAAATAAACCCTTTAAAAAATTTCAATTCGATTCATATTAAGTATTTTGTTAGTATCAAGTTATTTTTAAATTCCCGTTTGATAGAGTTTATTGCGTTTGGTTACAAATTAAGTTTGTTATTTCTTTAAAAAGCATGTGCACGCCTTTTTCACAGAACAGATTTCCTTCACTTGTAAAAGGAACATCCTATGAAACCTTGTAAGGAGTTATCGCATTTCCTCTTGCGTTTTCTCGTATTATAAGTGGTCAGCACGTATAAGTCAGAAATTTGAAGTTCTGCGGTTCGAATTCTGGTGATATTACAGTTGATGTATCATATTTTCTCATTTCAGGGGAAGGGAAAAAAACTATTAGTCTTGGCATATATCAAAATGTTGTGAAGCTAAGAATCCGTTAAAATTAATTTAAACGGGAGAAAGACTGAATACTCTCACGGGGGAAAACTTTTATTTACAACAAAAACGCATTAAAAAGTCAACTAAAGCTGAAGAATAATATGATAACTGTACAACCCCTAAACTGAAATAATTTTTAAACCAATTTCGACTTTCTAAATTAAAAAACCGCGAGCACACTAGAAAACTTACATATGGTGGCGATGATGATGGTGCGTTAAAAGAGACACGGTAGCAGAGCGTGATTTAATAGTGATAGATACAGAAGACTAGGGCACAGCTAAAAGAGAACGAAGATGATCTATAGAAAGGTCTTCTCATCGCCATTTGTATCCGTTATCATCAATTTGTTCCTGCCTGATGGATGTCAGTCAAACTTTTTGTTCATTGTGGCTGTTCTGAAACATCTGAATTACGATAGAATTTTTATTTGACTATTTACACTAATATATATATATATATATTGAATAATACAAATCTCTGTAGACAATCACAACATCCTGCTAAACCGGTTTTTGGCTTTCTAAATAAAAGGAGAAAATTGTCATTCGATTTTCTTTGGTTGCTCTAGAGCAGAGGATAGTTTAACACTAAAAGCTGCAGGTGCAATTATTTAGCATTAAGTATTTCTCTTGGTGTCCTTCAAGTTTCTCATCTTATTTCAGCAGATTCACTATCTAAACCATTTTTCGGAAGGCGTGTCTAACTAATTAATCAACCTAACAGATCAATCAACTTTCAAGATACGCGTAACAGCAATGTCCACCCACTTGCTACAGGTTTCACCACGGGCGTCAACGTGCTCTGTGGCAGCCACCACGGAACAATAATTACAATTTAAAGGAATCCTCTTTAAGGTGTTGACAGGATAGAGCGGGACTACTTACAGTTCGGTTGTAGTGGGAGGGATGTTCCTGGGTGCGGACTTGAGCTTTCTCCTACTACAGTGGACGACAGTTCCTGTGCACGTGCACCCCATGGGGCAGGTCAGCGTTGATCCGCAACCTTCCTCTTCTTCACCTCTATCACCACCTATGGAAGTAACAAAGAAATCGTGAAATTAGCCGGGCGTGTTCGAAGAGGAAGGAATATTCACATTCAACAGAAGTGACATATTTTAGGGGTGGGGGAATCGCGAATATAACAAACAGCCTCAGTTATTCCAATTTATTAATCAGCAATCATAATAAATAAATTATATACTAAAATAACCTTTAAGGAAAATTTTATGCATAAAGCTGTAAGGTATTTTCTTCCTCTTTCCAGCATGCTTTCGTGGCGTAACGGTAGCACACTAGGCGGGTTTTCGAGAGGTCCAGGTTCAAGTCCTTGGCGAGGGTACTGCGGATTTCTTCGATTTCCTTGCTTCGAAATAATCAAATAATTCTACAGTGGCACCAAAATTTAAAGATGGCGGACAGATCCCTTACTTCCCAGTCGCCCTTTAAAAGGGCCAGTATATAAGGTATTTTCTCCCTCCTTCCAACATGCCTTTGTTTTTGCAACAACAAATTAACAACCTTGTGTTTGTGACTAAAATCTATGCTAAACACAAGGTTGTTGCTTTATTTGCTAATCTGTTATTGCTAATTTAGACGTTAGCTAATTGTTATTGCTAATTTAAATGTTAATGAAGTTTCAAAGAATACCAGCAGTTTTGTCTCTCAGTTGCCATTCCAGCTGAAAGCAATTTATTGTTTGCTTCCTTGAGATTTTACCATTTCTAGAAAATCTATTTTGATGTGTGTTGCTAGAATGCTAATAAGCTATAAATAAATCTGTAATTTGGATTTTAATTCCTGTTTATTTGTTACAGCCTATGAGGTTCTGCTTATGTCTGTTTTGGAACTATGGTTGATTAGTAGGGGAAATAGTAAATGTTAGCAACAACTTTATTAATTGATAATTACTGAAGAATATAATTCAGAAAAAATTAGCATACAAAAAATTCTTGATATGAAAAAGATTAATTAATAACTTGAATGTATCTCTTATTCATTCAATTGGGTAAAATATCCGAATAGCAGTTAAATCCCGTAATGAAACTGACCATTTAGGCTGCACGGGCTATTATAATTGCATGTAGGTACTAAAGGTATGTATGTAGCAAAGGTGCATGTAGGTACAGAAAGATCATAGAAAGCCCTCAATGAAGGGCAATTCCAGCTTACTCAAAATCTTTACTTGTTTCAGTTAGCTTATGCTATCACTATTAGAAAGCCTTCGCCAATCAATGCTTGAAATGAAAATAACTAACCTACGTGCCTCGAATAGTTTTTTGGACCATGTTAATATTGATATCAACTCATTGAACGCAAGGAGCTAAACTTTGACTGCTTAATGTTGATGTTAACTCACTGGACGCATGGAAAACATAAAATATTTTCCACTACTCAATGGTCTCTTTCAGACAGTTTTTGATTACTCTCATTTAAAACACATTACTTGTAAATATACACATTGATTAGCTGAATGAGTCCACACCACACACGATTTTACGATTTTTTTTCTTTGCCCTTCTTTTTCCTTCCCCTAACTGAATCATATTTAATCATTTTATTATTTTATTTAAGATGCTGATGTCATTATTAACAACTAAACAATAAATAATAACTGAAGTAGGAAACTCATGCTTAAAGCTCAGTCAACTCATAATATCTTAAAACTACCATCAAAACGGTTCGAAGAATTAAAATCATAAAATTAGATCATAATAATAAGGTTTATGATATCCTATTGATCAAATGTTAAAATTCACAGTTTTAAATAAATAATAATAACATCTTGCGAGTCTTCCAAAATAAAAATTTTAAAACTCAGCATTACATTTTAAACTGCTTTCCAAATATTTCCCATCCATTCAAAACAACGAATAACTAAACTAAACATTTTGATATCATCCAGTGCACTAAAATACTGAGTTAGTATTTTTTGTGTGTTAAGAGTGTAAGAATTATGTTAATTTTATTAACAGTTAAATTTTAAGTTCCTTTCCTGTCAAATTGTTAACTTCAACTTACTACTTCCGGCCAGAACGTAGTTTTGGAATCTCGCTGAATATTTAATGAGGAGGAGAGGTATTTAAACCACGAAGTTACTTACAGAGTGAGAGAGAATCAGAGTTTCTGATTTACGCGCGTCTGCCTTTTTGGACCACTCTCTCTCTCAAGCGGTTATTACGCTCGGCCGTACTCAGAAGGGGCCAACTCGATTTGAATCTTGATAGCTTCGGCTATATTTCTCTAGTTAATCTTAGTTTTAGTTTAATTCTTAGTCTCTTAAGTTCAAGCCCGAGCGTCGGCTTTGTTTGTACACTCCCAGGCGGAGTTTTGTTAAATCTTTTTGGAATAATAAAGGGTTAGTTACCCTTCTATCTCGTTGTTCCTTGTAACCGAACTTAAGCGATTATTCGCTTATCATTTCTTAAGATTCTTTCACTTCCAACATTAACTTAGAATTACAACGTGAGGAACTCTACAAGAGTTCGTAAAAATTTTGGGAATAAACATGTCAGAAAAGCAAAAATCCAAATTTGGAACCTTTTGACAATTCTAAGCAGTAACAATTTTTACATGTATCATCTAGATATTTTTATCAGTTTGTATCACAAATGTAACTAAAATAAAAAATAAGGAAACACTTCGCATTTTCTAATATAAGATAACTGCATTTCTATTAATGCATTCTTCTTTCAGTATTCCATTAATTTAGGTAGTAAACAACAATAGATATCAATTCGATGTTTACAAAGAATGAACGATATCATTTATTTTGTTATACTACTCCGCCGTTTGTTATGTATATTACGTCTCCTAGAACTAACAAAAACTCAAAATAGCTAACTAGCTTTGTAAACTAATACAAAGACTAACAAAATAATTATGCATCTGTTCATCAAAAAATTAAGGAAACCTTTCTGGAATAAATATTAAAATATTTATCTTATCTGTATACGAACCATCACACTTGAAATCCTTCTTGTCTACATCTTGTATTGGGATATCTTTAAGGGACATAGGGGCTTGACAACGTGGATTTCCTGTTACAGCATTGGATTTCTTCAACCATTCGCTCAACCATCTTAAACGACAAGAGCACTTCAAAGGATTGGCTAGAAGATTCCTGTGAATAAATACAAGAAATTTAACAATTTGTTGCGATGAATTCTTTAAATCAGAAAGATATTTATTAAACTAGCATGAATATTTTGAAAGACGGTTACGGGAAAGGGAATTAAAAAGATATAAATGAGGTTAAGAAATGCAAAAAAGGAAATAATCCTCCAAAAATATTCTGTAAACGTTTTATGTTGCGTTGAAAACGCAATGAAAAAAATTTCGGTATTGAGTGAAGTACTTTCAAACTTCATTGTTTAAAAGCGTAAAGCAACTTCATTCATATAAATTAATTTCATTATTTGGATTTCAAAATGTCAAACGTTAAATTCATTTAGTTAGTTCAAACGTTCATTTTCATAACATCAAACGTTCATTTTCATAACATAAAACGTTCATAAAACATTCATAATCATCAAACATTCATAAACGTTCATAAAACATTCATAAATGTTCATAAAAAGTTCATAAACGTTCATGAAACGTTCATATTCAAAAACGCTCGTCAAACATTCATAAGCGTTCGTAAGTTCAAACGTTCATTTTCTAAGTGCAAAATGGCAAACGCTGCATTTAGAAAATGTTTTAATTAAGGACTATAAAAAGTGAAAGTTGCAAGGGGAAAAATTCCTATGGTTAGAGTCATTGCAAATTTCTGAAAATAAAGCCCATAATTAACATACTTCAGCACTTTCAGAAAAGTCAAAATAATCCTTAGAATAATAAAAGAGAACTTCAAAAGAGTTAAGAATGAAATAGCAAAATATACATGCAGGCATGCTTATTTCGATCTTTATTTCCCTCTGACGCTGTTATATGATTTTGCGCTTAACCCTTTAATGTATGAATTTTTATTCTTAAAGTCAAAAATATATTAGAATTGATATCGTATAAAATTGAAAAATACTAAAAAAGTCTAAACTAAGTTTTTATTCCAATTTTTCAAAAATTATTATTAGCTTTATACAAAAAAATTATGATAGACAAATGTGTAATGTAATAACGATTTTATGCAATAATACATACCTTATAAACTTGTTTAAACAATTTTAAAACTTTGAATATATCAAAATAACAACAAACACAAAATAAAAAATTTGTAGACACAAATGATGTCCACAGCCTACTCAACTCACAATAATGACCGTTACAGCGTTAGTGGTGTCACCACACTGAATTCAAAACTATATTACGTAAACAGTATGTATCCAATTACATGCATTTAAAAGGGTTAAAATTATTTCAACGAGTTATAATAAAGAAAACGCACATAACAAGATTATATTATTGTAATGAGCAAAAAGCCGCAGAGTTTCTCCTGCAATTATTCACTCCCGGAAGCAGTTATTCATTTTTATAACGAGTCGACTGTTTGAATATGACGTACCGACCTCTGATAATTTTGAAAAGATACTGAGGTAATGACAGATATCATGATGATATATTACGGAACATGAATGTGAATCGAATAACTGTGGACAATCATCCGTGATTAAACGTTTAGAGAATTAGCTAATTAGTTTTATTTACAAAAACTAAAACTTTTAATGCATCGAATGTATTAAAAATAAATTTGAACACTATCAAAGTGTAATTATCGAAACAAATATATATTTTGAGATCTGGAAGAAAATAAACATTTGGTTTGGGGAAACAGTGAAAATTCCCATCCGGTTACTAGTGTTTAGCGATTTTACACCGTTTAACCGCCGGTGGGTAAATAAATAAATGCAATGTTTTATTCATAGTTACTAGCGGGCAAGCCCACCAGATTTAGGCCAAAGAAAAAATTTATAAGTACTTATGTACACCCGAAAAGAAAATGTATAAAAACTTTTCAGTATGAATGAAATCAGCTCTAAATACACCAGATTTTTTTTTTCTTAATATCAGTAAAGTAAGTTCTATATGCTCAAACTATTGGGCTTGACTAACTTCAGCTTTTTTAAGAAAATATGATAATAAACATCACAGTCTAAAAACAGAGAAAAAGGGACGAAGGAACAAACGGGCACTTGATTCCATAAAAAATTTTACTCTGTTTAAAAAAGACGAATGGCAATTTTAAAATTCCACCTCGTACGCGCTTAGCATGTCAAACAGCAATAAAGTTCAGTGGAAAAAGCAACCTTACAGGGTCGAAAATTTGCATTTTCAGAGTTTTTAATTAATATCTCGGCTGATTAAAATCATACGAAGAAGAAATGTGTCGAAACGACTTTCCACGATTTTTTTGAAATTCGCGGGTACCTCTCTCGAAACACAACTCCATGCCGTTCCGGAAAGACGATGTTACAAACAAACAGACAGACGCACATATATTTCAATAGTATTAATTATGTTTTCGGTTCTGAAAAACAAAATGTATCAGACATAACATGTTATTATCACATGTACACACACTCAGGCATCACATTAAAACTGAGCACAAATCATTTTTCGATAAAACTAAACATATCACAGTTTTAGAAACATATTGATTTAAATAGCATATGTTTATTTATATCATTTTTATATTCTATGGCAGTGTGGGCAAATACTCTTAACAACGGGCCAAAAAGGTCCTTTTTTAGTATATCATGCGAGCAGGGCCGTCGCAATGTGCAATGTTGCTTCAGTGAAGATCTTTTATGGTGAACTTATTGTTTGCTAGGACGAGATGGAAGAAGGACAATACCCTTCCCTGATAAATTTTTTAAATTAAGATTTAAAATAGCATTTTATAAACTCAGTTTCATACGGAAATAAAAACGAAAAACAAAATTTCAAGGAATGCGAGGCAAAAAACAAAGTATCAGTGATTAATCAAATATTCTTACAATATTAACGCTTTGCATAGATTTTTACTTATTACAAATACTATGTTGTAAAAGCAATGAATTAATTAATATATACTTATTCTGAGACGAGAAATCTCGATCGTTTATGCCAAAAACAGGCATAAACGATCTGTTTTTATTGTTCATCAATGACTGACATGTATACTGTTTCAAATGACTAACATGTATTTTTAAATAAAGCTTTAGACAGATGTGAAACATTCTTTCGCTAATGTTACTTCTGGTCAGTCTTTTTACCTGAACAATAAACATATTTCACAACTTTATTTCCAAATTAAAGATGCTAAAAATAAAGACCTATATTTCTCGATGGAAGCACATGCTTTATAGCATATCTAGTGTTCTGAGCATAGGCGGATTACTATTATAGTTATGCCTATATACAGACGAACCTCGATTTTCCCCATAATTCGCTATTTCGCATATTTTTTGTTGGTATTTGAAAAACCACTTGCTGAAGTCCCTCCCATGAAGCGCGGTAGCTAGCGTTTATTCACACTGCTCACACTCGTTGGAGTAGTGGATTTTTTCGGAATCGTTGAGACGTCACTACAGTTCCGAGACGCGTTGGCCGAATGCATTTTACAGATTAACCTTGCGTAAGTGCACGTGTCAAATACGTTGTGTGTTTTTGCAATTTATTAATTTATATTTAAATCTATCGCCCTTATCTATATATATATAAAGAAGAAAGTCTGTGTGTGTGTTTGTTCGCTAATAACTGTCACTATTATAGCCATCGTCAATCATTTTCTACAGTTCTTTTTTGGGTCCTGAAAAAGGTCGATGTCCACTTTAAAAAAAAAGTTAAAATTAGAGATATTAATTAAAAACTGGGAAAAACGATAATTTTCGCCCTCATTTTTACGAGTGGCAACAGTCAAGCAAGCTGGAGATGAAAATCTGCTTTATTTCGAAAGTTGTTGCCACTGCTCATTTTCAAATCCTAGAGTTTGTTACTAAAGAATTTCTAACTTTAACGATGAAATAAAAATAACATTGCCAAACATTAAATATATTACTTCCGATTCCAAAAATCCGTGGGAAGCCATTTCGACTGTTCCCATCTTCATACGACTTTAATGAGCCGAAATATTAATTAAAAACTCTGAAAGTGCTAATTTTAGCACTCATTTTTTCGAGTAGCAAGTCTCATGCGTTGTAGATAAACATGCTTTATCTCCGAAACGTGGTCTATCCCTTTAAAATTGTAGAGTTGTAATTTTGTTTTACAAAACCTATACATACAAGAAGAATGTTGGGTGTGTGTTTGTTTGATTCGCGTTATTGATTTCTGATCAATTTGATGCCACATTTAATAGACTAATTAAACATAGGTGAAATATTGCTTGGAACTTGAGCTTTTATAACCATTTGATTAGAAAGACGAAAATCATTAAAAACTGTGTGCCATTGTTGTTGATATAATGAGAAAGAATTAGCTTATTTTCTATCGAAATTTTTTATGTGGGTTCCATATCGCATCAGACTGAAAAATGTATGATTATGAATCGTATTTTTTTTGCATCGTTATTAGAGAAGGATTACAGCGGTATCATTCTCTCTGTTGTTACAAGCATTACTCTCAATCTAACTTAACTGGCATCGGGTACATCCGCTAATAAATTTATGAACATGAGTGAGAAACGGGGAAACTGCAATGTTGAAGCGAACAAAAAGAAATTAAAGACATCAATGAACATCAATCATACTGCTGACACAGAGATGGAAACAACTAGACGTTCTGAAAGGGGTGAATATTTTGCTTCAATCGCCCATTGGTACTATACGAACAGGTCTACAATATGTTTGATTTTGAAAAGCAAGAATGAAATTTAGGAACATGTTCAAAATTCTGGAAATATATCTCCAAATATTGTTTTTTCAAAGACACCACATAAAGCTGGATGAAATGGAAAAATATTTTTCATTATAGATTGATGATCAACATGAAAACAATACCTTCTGAGTTTTTCATTTACTCAAAGTAACCCTCTTAGTTTGCATGAAGTCTGATAAAAGGAAGATTCTAACATAGAGTTTCAAGCAGGTAAAGGCTGCTTCGACAGATTTAAAATGAAATATTAAATTAACCGGAGAATTGGCTAATTCAGATAAAACTGCTGCGAAAGAAGATACTTCCTCATAGTCCAGAATTGCAGATGGAGAATATTGTCTTAGCCAAATATTTAATGTAGACGAGACGGGTTTATTTTAGGAAAAAATGCTTTAATGTACATTCTTATTGAAGAAAGAATCAGTTGCCCCTGAAAACAAACCTTCTAAAACCCTATCGATATTGCTTCTTGGTAAGGACTTACACTTTTTAAAAATGCTCTTTAAATGAGCGCAATATTACATATAATCAAAATGATTAAAATTTAAGATTAAAATACTTAAAAGTTAGAAAATTTACTGAAAAAATGTGAGAATGCCTGCTAGAAAGAATCATGCTTTATGGAATTCGTGGTTCATTTGACAACATACCTTTACATAAATTTTGTTTTATACTCGAAGGGTAGGCATACTACTGATGGAAAAAGAGATCCACCCCAATCCTAACATGAATTTCTTTCTTTCAATGACTAGCAACACCTATTGATATTAAATTATTTTCACTTTCATTTCATTTTACTTACTTATTTTATCTTGAAGATCAAAATGTGATTTTCAGATCTTGTTAAAATCACAAGTATTGATAACTGTTTGACCAAACATAAACAGTAAAAATACTTGATAAAAGGAAAGCTATTCAAATAGCCACATTTGACATCAGTGATTTAAAAAAAAAAATTATGTGACATCATGTTTTGTGATGTCGCACCTCACTATACCACTGCTTGACTGTACAGCGGTACTAAGCTGAAAAGAATACTAAAACTCTCTGGTATGAAACTAAAAGATAAAAATAAAAACTGCTTTTGCCGCGTTTAGAATTACTGGTTAAAGACGCTGTACCATATTTACTTACATATTACTTACATAATAACAGAAATTTTTAGCTATATCATGCAAACTAGATTTGAAAAGAAAATAAGAGATTTATTACTATTATAACGAAAAAATACTTACAAAGTTGTCAATGCTGGCATTTTATCAAACGATCCAGGCATTATGTGTGTGATTCTGTTATCATAAAGTGAGCTGGAAATTAATAAAACTTTAATTAGAAATTCCTGCATAAAACATTTAAAACTGAACCTCATAAAAATCACAATATTTAGTTAAAAAAATACGTTAAGTGAACTAATTTATATTTTCTATACTTTTATAATACAGTTGGTACTATTACAGGAAAGAATATTAGGCTAGGATATCTTCAATAACGTCCGAAATGAGAAGCAACATATTCAATAATAAATATTACAATAAATATATCTTCGGGACACAAATATTATGCTCATATAGTTAAGAGCTCCATTTACATATAATTTTACATTACAGACATTATACAACCTAAAATATGTTGTTTAAAATCTTCTAAGAAACAGTGCCATTAGCAGATGAATACACATGGAGCAAAATATCTCTCAAGACTTTTATTCATAATACAGTTTTGAAAAGATTTGAATATTCCTAAGTAACTAAATTGTTAAAAAAAATGTTAGTAACTTATTAAAGAAAGGTTTATAGAATTTGCTAAATAAAAGAAAAAAATATGATTTATAACGTGAGGAAAAAGATAAATCGAATTTTATCGGATTATTAATATATCGGATTTACTAAGCGAGAACATATAAAAGTCGAGTTCCAGTACGACGTAACTGAAGGAACCAGGTTAAAATATCGATTAGTTGTTAAAAGTTCACAATTTAGAATTCGGTTCGGCTTATCGAAATTCTACTATACCGCTACTTTTGTAATAATAAACACGATAAAAATAAATTTTGCATTACAAAGACTCAAATAAATTGCGTATCTTCAAGCAATCAAAATTAAATATTCCCAACTCAATTCCTTGAAGCATTTAAGTATGGAAATCCACAATTAGAAACCTTAGTTTAATATAAGGTAATAACATTATATTGTTTCAATTTACGAATTTTAAGCAGCATTATTTTTGGCAGTTAATAATACTCCCAATAACTATACCCAATCGCCTGCATTAAACTGATAAATGACTGATAAAACTAACGTGTCCTCTTTATAAGAACAACTCATGTTAAAACTGACTGTGAATACAATCACTAATTCTCTTATTACATCTCAAATAATTGCATATGATTTCGTACAGTCCAAGGTTGAGTGGACAGTACAAACCATGTCTCTATGTCAAAAACAATCAACAATGACCAGACAATCTCCTTTGTGAACAACAAAGCTAACTCTTCAGCTCAGAGAAAACAGAAAACCCATAAGTGATAAGAAACTCTTCCTCTCCATCTTTCAAGGGAGGGAGACAAGAAGGGGGAAAGCGGAGACACGCAAAACGCCCCCACGTCTAACTTCGGCGCAGAGCCTTTCAATCTCAATGAAGAAGCGACCTTATGTTCCATTATGGAGAGTAATTAGTGGAACATTGGCTAATCAGAGTGATTTGCGGTCTCATCGCGTCATCGGAGCTCTGGACTTTAATCATGATTAGAGGCTGCACTTACAGTAATTGCAGAGACTCCAGTCCGCTGAATGTATCGTTGGAAATGCAAGTGAGGAGGTTGGTTCGTAGCATCCTAGTGGAAAAAAAAATGATTAAGTACAGAATCAGATATCATGAAAAGTACTGGGAAAAAAAACCGAACATACAAAAAACACTTAACAATTTTTAAATGTTTTCAAAAAATAGGTTTCAAAGAAATTTTACATATTTCTCATATTTCAATATTTAATTTTTTTCTTTTCTTTCAAGATTAATTCTTGCGTATAAAAGCTTGTTTTCAGGAGGGGGGAGGCAATTTTAACAGCTAAGCTTTTCGGCTGTTATACAAAACTGATTTTAAAATATAAAAAATGCAGGGTGGGAGATGAAGTGATTCAAAATAAAGCCAAATCAATAACTGATTTAAAAAAAGCAATGGACGATGTTTTTAAAGTAATGGTTGATTTAATTCTTAATTGTAAATGTCAGTTATATATTTATACTCAATCTAAAATATATTTTGTTTTAATTATTGCAGGGAATCATAGATATTATTTACTAACCTCTTCAAAGACACTGACTGACACATACCTGTACACTTTTTTAATCAGAAATACACTAAGAGAAAAAAAATTAATTCGTAATAAAAAACAAACAAAACAAAAAAATTAAAAGCAGGCATTTTTTTACATTATGAGAAATTCATTACGCATAGAAGACGTAAGCAGATTTTATAGTATTTTAATTTTATTCGACTTCTTCAGGACAACTGATTATAAACTTCAGCTTCTTTATCTGTTTAACATATTTAGGTACAAAAAATGTTCTCCTTTTGCTTGTCTTTTAATACCCTAAGAAACTTAATTATCTCTTAATTATTTAACTTATTTAATAACTATTAATTATTTATTTATTGTTTTATGACATTTCCAAAAAATTTCAATATTTATAAATAACTTTTGGAATAATTTTTTGTTTGGAAAGAGAGTTTGGGAAACGGTCTCCAGTTACTTCACGAATATTTACAAAAACAATGACAACTTTCAAATTATCAGATCGCCAAAGCACTAAACATTTGTATAAAGTAAAAGGACAGAAAATGAGAAACCGAAACAAAGTGGCGTGCTCGTCGACTAGCACGCACAAGACACTCCCATAAATATAAGCCGAGTATTTTACACACAGCCCCCAAGAATATTTTACACACGCAACCCTCAGATTAAGCAGATGAAAGAAGGGTAATTTTTTATTTCTTTGGCAGTAAAAGAGAAAAAAATAATACAATACTTACAATGTTTTCAGGCTAGGTATCCCGGAAAACATTTTGGATGTGACGTCTTTGAGTTTGTTTTCCGTAAGAAGGCTGAAAAAGATAACTAAGTTCTTGAAAGAATTGTTGTTGACATAAGCAAGAAAAGTTTTCGCAGTGAAGAAATGAATTTATCAAACTGACCTGTTTTTATTAAAAGAAAGCGTATCACTATCGACATAAAAAATTTTATGCTGGATTAGCAGAAGCTATGTCAACTAGCAACATGACGTTTTTATTTTACAAGTAAACATTTTGCAAGCTTAACTGAATGTTAAACTAGTAAAATATTTTAGAAACTACCCGAGTTTTATTTGACTTCTAAACAGTTTAAAAAATAAAAGAACTGAAATAAAATTATGAAATTTATTTATAACTATTCAAGAGTTCAGTTCTTCAGACTGCATGAAAAATTGTAGACTTCATTTACACAACAATTAAGAAATAAATGAACGCGTTCCTTTCTTGATTGCTTCCTCCAGCGAATATTTTTAAGGTAGTTATAATATACTACACACTTTTTTTGTGTGAGTGTAGGCGTGTGCGCGCGCTTGCGGTAAACCCATTGGTGTTCGTCTGCTAAGTAACAGCTTAGTTCTCAAGAGCTGAGAAACCGTTTCATTCAGTTATGTCACATGTTCCTTTCTGTAACTTAGGAATTGATTGCAGTTTATGAATAATGGCCCTTATTCAACAGCGCGTGAACATTCAGTTCTCTGTAAGTTTGAGCCAATATCCAGTGAAAGCCTTTATGGAAATAACGCTTTACCAAGCTCGAAAATCCTCAAACGACACTGATGCTGTCTATAGTTCCAATGATAAGAGCATAGTGCATTATCGTTGTTGCTTTTACATTACTTTAGAAATCAGATCTCATGAAATGTACAAAGTAATCAAAAGAAATAAAAGAGAACAAATTGTCTGAAATGAATTTAACTCACAGATCAGCAAGTTGATTAGCTCCTTGGAAAGCTCCATCTTCTATTTCAGATATTTCATTGTTACTTAAATCTCTAAAATACACCAAAAACACAGGAAATGTTTTAAAGGTAAATTATCAAATTTTCAACATATTTGTTTTTCTCATAAAGCGACAACAAATGTTAAGATCTATACTTACTGATAAATCACAATAATACTTACTGACAAATAAATCTTATAGGATCTACACTTACTGACAAATCTCACAAATGCTTACTGGTACACAAATAAATGGAAAAGTAATGTGGCACAGGGTATTATTCTTAAAATCTCGAGAACCTCAATAATTTCAAAATGCGCAGTTATCAATAAAATAAAATATTAAATGTAATTTTTTTAATGTTTAAGCATTTAAAAAAATAACTCAAAATTAAAGCAACAAATTATCTCTCATTTAAAAATACCACACTGGCCCAGTATAAAATTCTATTCTCTTAAAGTATCCTTCTGAAAAGCATACTTGCCGTATAAAAGCAGCTTAATATAACCCATTATTTAAGAGAATTTCACACTTATTGCATGACTTTTAGTACGTTTACTTAACTATATTTTTAAGCCATCAAATTCTTTTTTTTTAAAACTCTTTCAATATACATTTGGATAATAAAAATGAAATTCTCTTCTACAGGGTGGACCAAATAAGACCTACCAATGTGAAACACAAATAACTTTTTTATTTTTTGATATAATTATTATTTTCTTTTTGTAGGTTATAACTGAATTCTTGGAAATTTATTATAGAACCATACAGTACAAAACAACGCGTTAAAATTATCGAGTTTTTCTATTCTTGTCAACGATCAATTATTATGACACAGCGTAAATATCGGCAATATTTTAATTCGAGTGTAATAATACCAATATTAAATTTTAATTACGCTGTGTCATAATCAATTATTATGACACAGCGTAAATATCGGCAATATTTTAATTCGACTGTTTGGTGCGGTGTTATGGTCAATAGAATTATCGGTCCATATTTCTTCGAGAATGAAGATGGAACGCCGAAAACAATTTTCGGAGATTTTTACAGAACAATGATTGAAAACATTTTGCGGCCAATGGCGGAGCAGAATCCGTTTTTTATGGGAATATTTAAAAGACAAAGTGTACGTTAATAAACCAGAGACTAAGATAGCTGAAGCAGAATTTTCGAGACGAAATACTGAGTCTTCAACCAGAAACATTACGTGGTGTAATGGAAAACGCATTAAAAAGAGCCAAACTCTGTATCGAGAAAAATGGTGGATATTTGTCTGATGTCTTATTTCATACATAATTCCCATAAAATATATTTAATGTATAAAAATTAATCAAAATAAATGATTATTACAAGAGTTACCCGTGTTTAACTTTAGTAGATCTTATTTGGCCCACCCTGTAGAAGGTCTTTTTTTTCTTGAAAAACACATTCAAAAGGCAGAATCGTCTCACATTGCAATCGTATAATCATCAGGCATATAATCTGCCCTCAGTTTCAACTTGAAGCGTCGTGGGCTTTTTAAAAAAGCAAAAATAAGTTCTTTTTGCCTCTACAACTTCGGTTTTCTATGGTCGCATAGGAGTTATGCCTTTTTGATCTTAGTTCTTATATTTCAGACTTTATAACTAAGAGCAAAGCCATTGAACTTTACGGAAATTTACGCTAATTAGAGGAAATTGCGCCGAAACTATTTTCTTTGATTTATGCCAAAGTTTAAAATATGTTTTTAATAAAACAAATAAATAAAAATATTATAACTTTTATCTATCAGAATTTTTTTTAAAATCGCTATATTTTAAAAGTAATTTAGCAACGCGGTCGTGGGTACGCGGGCGCATAAGGTACACCCCCTGGCTACATGCCAGAATATGGTATATAAATAGACAAGATTAAGCTTTAAAAATTCCCTGCGCTATATATAGAAATGGTAATATTACTATATCTTTAGTAGGTCATACAGTAATTACAACATCAAACAAAAAATCAGTTCCACAAAAGATTTTCAACAACAGAAATACCAAATTACATAATGTTTTCGCTTGCCCCACTAAAATATATTTAGTTAACACAAATTTAATTTATTACAAAAATAAGCTTTTCCAGTACTACTTTCCATTTCCAGTCCGTGTGATTATTTCGATGGTGACCCTAAACTATTGTGCATAAAAAGTTATGTTACTGAGAAAATGACATGAAATGTTTTGTTTATATTTTCAGCGATGTGAAACAAGACCTTATAATCGAAGAAGAAGAACGGACTACTAGATCTCAAGGACCCTACACTCAAAGAAATTCAAACTATTAAACGCCAGCATCTGAAGAAAAATATTCCAGAATTTGGAGAAAAACATTTAAGTAAGCTTTGATGTAAAAGGTGACCATTCTCAGCATCAAATATTTATTGGCAAGTCCTACTACTTGGACAATTGCTAAGGACGGATCTCAAACTGCAGTATAGCATAACATTAAGTGAAGGTGGAGAAAAAATATTTTTGCCACATTATTCAGATATCAGAATAAAGGACATTTATTGTTCAAGAAAATACAAAAGGTTTTGAAACATCTAAAAGTAATTAAGACACAATAACACGCCGAATAAATACTAATTCAGAAGTCACAACAAAATCAGCGTTATAACCTACAAATTTTCACAGGACTAGTTTCGATGGTTTTTACCGAACCATCATCTCAGCTGCAAAACCGCAAATGAACAAGATAGGAAATAATGATTAGATAAGATAAGAAAGCCTGGACAAGAATAAGCAAGTGGCGCCATAATTTCTCTAAAAGCCGAAGGCAAATTTGGATTGGAATTAGGATCGTTAACTAGAACAGAAAGATTTTATGAATGTGAAATGCCTCTAGAAAATCCAGTTCTCCAATGGAAGATGTTTTTTGAATAATTTGGCAGCAAAAATTGAAAGTGTGATTTTCGGACCAACAATGTTGAGCAACAGAAGACTTCTGTTTTCCTTTTTTCTAACATATGCCTCATGTTCTTTGACGCGAAATTTTAAGGCTCTCCTAGTTTGGCCAATGTAAATTAAACCACACTGGCAAGGAAAATCCTATAATACCCCAGGAATTCATATCCGGAATGGGTCCTTGAGTATAGAAGTTGGAATTTATTGATGGGAGAATAACAACCCGAAAGTTAAACTTCTGCAAAATATGTGCAACTTTATAGCTAATTGATGGAAAGAAGGGAATGACAACAGAATTTTTATAATCTCCTAAAATAAGAGTGTGGCTTTAGTGTGTTGAGATGAGAATTTTTTAACTGCTTGATTAATAATGTTGGGTGAAAAGCCCCTGTCAATAGCTATTGCTTTTAAAAATTTAGTTTCTTCATCAAGGGCTAGTTTGGAGGAGCAAACTTGAAGAGCACGGAAAACATAGGAATAAAATGAAGCTAACTTTTGTTTAGTCGGATGACATGATTTAAAGTGTGGTGCAAGGCAACCGATGAAGGTTTACGGTAAACTGTAGTACTGAAGTTGGATGTCTTACGTGTGACCAGAATGTCGAGAAACGGAAGAGAATTGCAAGTCTCAAGTTCAAAAGTGAACTGAATAGCAGGATCAATAGAATTCATTTTTGAAAGAACTTTATTTAAATCATCTTTATTACCTTCAAACAGGGTAAAAGTATCGTCTACGTAGCGGAAACCATGCCGGAAGTTTAAAGTTTCAAACAATTTTGATTCATAATAATGCATGTAGATATCAGCCAGGATGGGACTGAGGGGCTTCCATGGCTAATCCCTCAGTTTGCTTGTAATATTTATTTTGGAAACAAAATGTGTTTGTTTCAAACAGAGTTGAGTGAGAGAAATTAGCTCATCAATTTCGATGCAAGAGAAATGAAATTCGCGAAGTCTGGTTTCTAGACATCTTAATGCACCCTCCACTGGAACATTGGTGAATAATGATTTTACATCAAAAGAAACCATGAGTAAATTACTAGGAGAAATGTTTTTAACCTTTTTTACAAACTCTATTGAATTTTTTATGGTGTAAATGTTATTGTCTAAGAGAGTGGAAAATCTAGAAACTAAATATTTAGCTAAAGGATACGAGGCAGTACCTAAATTTGATACAATAGGGCGGAAAGGAATACCATTTTTATGAATTTTGGGAAGAGCATATAATCTGGCACAATTCGCAACAGATGGGATAAGCGAATGTTTTAAGTTGCTTGAAATGATTTGCAAAGATTTGATCGCAGTTTTTATTTTGGATAAGTCCGAAGGTGAAGGATCTTTAGGGATCGGATTATATGGTCCTTCGTTTAAGAGTTAGTGACACCATCGATGTAAGTGTTTCTTATCCATGACGACTATCTGGCCACCTTTGTCAGCCTTTGAAATGATAATATCCGGGTTAGAATGAAATTTCGCGCATTGTAGCTCTTTCTCTCGCAGTTAGATTTGGTTTCAAAGGTTTATTATTGAATTTCACATTATGAGCGATAAGATGCCATAATCATTTCTTTCTGTGAATCTGAAACTTTACTGAACTTGAAAGCTTTTTTCGATAGGAGCCAAATCTTTGGAATCGAGGGTTTACAGGTTTGTGAGAAGTTAAAATTATATTTTAGAATTCTCTCTTGTTCTTCTGAAAGACTAACATTAGAAATATTAACTATTGGCTTGATGTTTACAATGGGAAGATTTTTTTGAACTACTTGAACTGGAAGACCGTAAAAGAAGTTTTTCGAATTTAACTGCAATGGTGTTTTCATGAAGGTTAACTGCATTCTCCGTTCTAGACCAAAGACTTTTGTTCAAGGGCAATGAATTTTGGATATGAATTAGGAGAGTTCCAGATGAAGCTTATAGAGCTCATGTTCAATTTTGGACAATTGTTGACATGTATCCCTTATGACGGACCGAAGTAAGGCAAGTTTGCAGTTTAACCGAATTCTTGAAACGCGACTCGAAGGTTTTTGATTAGATTTGATTTGAATAAAATTAGGGATCAATTTGGTCGGCGTACATTTACATTTAAGTAAAAAGTACTATGGTTTGATTCATAGGACCTTCATTGG